GATTTGGAGACTCTCCAAGGGAAACCACTTGGAAACTTCCATGTCAAGTATATAAAAGCTTAAAAAGATGTGAGAATTCAGTGATATAATTACTTAAGTGCAATATAATTTATAAAATGTATATCTTGTATGTCTATTTTATAATTTATAATGAATCGTTGTTATTATACACAGAATTTTTTCTATAAATTTGAAGTTTTTATTATCAATTAGATAAGGATGTAGACAAAGTGTCTTGAGGGTCTCGTGCAATAAATATGCGAAACGAAATAGACTACCTCGCAAAGTATCCCACATCCAACATGTTAAAAAGCAGTAAGTTCGGCCGGGCCGAACTTTAAATACCCTCCACCCTTTGGAACGAATTTGGAAAATTTCAAAAAATAAAATCTTTAAAAAATTCTGTTAAAATTTTAAAAATACCAAATGTAGGCATTATTTTTGGGTCTATACGGCGAGGACCTACATTGGTATTGTTCGTCATAAGCCATATTCAAATTCGAAACTTGAAGTAAACGGTGAAAAATGTAACTAAATTCATCAAAATAAAATATCGTAAATAGGGATGTACCGTAATATCAGAGCTGTGCGAAGACATGGACCTGCATAGACAATTTTCTGTCACAGGCTGTAGCAGCCATTACGAACTTCAAATAATTTCGGTGGGTATTGCACCTAAAATCGTCAAAATACCGAATATAGGGAGGTACTGATATATGGGGCCTATACGAAGACCTGGACATGCATAAACAAATTTCTGTCACAGACTGTAGTTCCCATAACGAAAAACAAATACGTAATTTGAAATAATTCTGGTGAATAAAGTCGCTAAAATCATCAAAATACCGAATATTGGGAGGTACCGTTATATGGGGGCTATGCGAAGAATTGGACCTGCACAGACAATCTTTTGTCTTAGGGTGTAGCATCTATTTCGAACTTTAAAAACTACTAAATTTGAAAAAATTCCGGTGTATAATGTCGCTAAAATCTTCAAAATACCGAATATCGGGAGGTACCGTTATATAGAGGCTATATGAAGACGTGGACCTACATGGCCCATTTACGAACGTAACCTGCCTATTGGAAAAATAAACATGTGTGCAAAATTTTAGCCATCTATCTCAATTCATTCGAAAGATAGCGTGATTACAACAGACAGACGGATGTGCATCGCTAAATCGACTTAGAATTTCACGCTGATCAAGAATATATATACTTTGTTAAGTCTGACATGAGTATTTCGAGGAGTTACAAACGGAATGACAAAGTTAATAAACCCTCCATAGTATGGTAGAGGGTATAAAAATGGAAACGCCTATATTTTTATATGAATATTTCACTAAATTCATCTTTTTAAGGACTTATGTCTTGAAAGATCCCCGAGATTGGGACTTATACCTATATGAAATCGGGCAAGCCCTCCGAACTTCGCCACATGTGTCAACCCATTCTTTGCATTGTTTGGATACAATATGTTTACCAACGGAAACAATTATAGATTAGCCAAGAAACTCAGATCATTTACTGACCACCAAATTATACAATTAAATAGAACGGATAGAATAGAATTAATGAGAGAAAACATTAAGAAAAACATCCATCAAGCTTACGAGTCCAGTGCCAAAATGTACAATAGTAGATCACGAAATGTAACTTTTCGTCCAGGCCAGGAAGTTTTTAGAAGGAATCACGTTCTCTCAGATTTCAAGAATAATATAAATGCGAAATTTTGCAAGAAGTTTCTGAAACAATATGTATGAGTTGGAGACTCTACAAGGGAAACCCCTAGGAAACTTCCAAGTCAAGGATATAAAATCTTGAAACGATTTGAGAATTCTGTGATATAATTACTTAAGTGCAATATAATTTATAAAATATATATCGTGTATGTCTATTTTATAATTTATAATGTATCGTTGTTATTATACATAGATTTTTTTATACATTTAAAGTTTTTATTATCAATTAGACAAGGATGTAGACAAAGTGTCTTGAAGGACTCGTGCAATAGATATGCGAAACGAAATACGCAATAATAAAATCTGTGATATAAAATATAGTAGTGCAATATAGGATAAGTAAATTAGTTCGTGATTGTCCAAGTTTATTTGTTTGTATTGCTGAGAATTTTTTTAGTCGTTATTGTCAACCTCGTTTAAAATTGTATGTCTAAAGCAAGGATAACTGCTAAAGAGCCCGGATGAATGAGACTTCAGGGTATGGGAGTTCCCCACGTTGTGAACAACAAAGGTAGAAAGAACTATATTGCATTTAATTTCTTTCAAAATACAATAGCCACTATCTCCGATTGTCTTAAACACAAAAAGTTCGTTTATATTTATGGAAAAATGTCGTAGATTTGTTCCTAACAACCATTTGCAACATTGGTTTAAAGTATTCAATTATTTCCTTGTAACCGATATTTCTCACATTACAATTGTCGAAGATTTAGTTGATTGTTGTTAAAGTATTTAAGAAGCGTAACAGACGTTTGCATATAATCTTTAAAGAGATAGTAATTTATAGAAACAATATAATATGGTAATATAAATAAGTGAACAATAAAAATCATATCGCCTTTGTATTGCTCCTCATTTTCATTTTTATCATTTTCAAATATTTTTTTTGCGATAAATTATGATTAAGTATCATCCTCCCATATTCATCTTTTTTCTCGGTGAATGCATAAAAATAGTCGATATACTTTTTTTACATGTCACTTTATGATATTTTTTGTTTCTTCTCAATTAATATATAAATTAATATTATATTATGGAGGGTATAAAAATGGAAACGCCTATATTTTTATATTCATGAACCACTTCACTAAATTCATCTTTTTACATGCGATGAGAGAAGCTACCTCTAAAAATGTCGTGAAATTTCTGGAGGACAATGTGTTTCGTGTATTCGGGGTTCCAAAAACAATCCATAGTGACAATGGAAAACAACTTGTGTTAAATCTGTTTCAGGAAATGATAAGGAATTAAAAAATAAGCCATTTAACGACTGCGTACTATTCTCCACAATCAAATGCGGCAGAGAGAGTGAATCAGTCTGTACTGGCGGCTATAAGGACTTATGTCGAGAAAGATCACCGAGAATGGGACTTATACCTATCTGAAATCGAGCAAACCCTCCGAACATCGGTACATTCCGCCACAGGTGTCAACCCATTCTGACCTATCGGAAACAATATGTATAAGTTGGAGACTCTCCAAGGGAAACCACTTGGAAACTTCCATGTCAAGTATATAAAAGCTTAAAAAGATGTGAGAATTCGGTGATATAATTACTTAAGTGCAATATAATTTATAAAATGTATATCGTGTATGTCTATTTTATAATTTATAATGAATTGTTGTTATTATACACAGAATTTTTTCTATAAATTTAAAGTTTTTATTATCAATTAGACAAGGATGTAGACAAAGTGTCTTGAGGGTCTCGTGCAATAAATATGCGAAACGAAATTCTCAATAAAAAAGTCTGTGATATAAAATTTACTAGTGCAATATAGGATAAGTGAATTAGTTCGTGATTGTCCAAATTTATTTATTTGTATTGCTGAGAATTTTTTCTTAGTCGTTATTGTCAACTTCGTTTAAAACTGTATGTCTAAAGCAAGGATAACAGCTAAAGATCCCGGTTGAATGAGACTTCAGGGTGTGGAAGTTCCCCACGTTGTGAACAACAAAGGTATAAAGAACTATATTGCATTTAATTTCTTTCAAAATACAATAGCCACCATCTCCGATTATCTTAAACACAAAAAGTCCGTTTATATTTATGGAAAAAATCCGTAGATTTCTTTCTTCCTAAAGTAGATTTCTTCCTAACAACCATTTGCAACATTGGTTTAAAGTATTCAATCATTTCCTTGTAACCGATATTTCTCACATTACAATTGTCGAAGATTTAGTTGATTTATTTATTTATTTAAGAAGTGTAACAGACGTTTGCATATAATCTTAAAAGAGATAGTAATTTATAGCAACAATATAATGTGGTAGTATGAATAAGGGAACAATTAAAATCATATCCCCTTTGTATTGCTCCTCATTTTCATTTTTATCATTTTCAAATATTTTTTTTCCGATAAATAATGATTAAGCATCATCCTCCCTTATTCTCCTTTTTTCTCGGTGAATGCATACAAATAGTCGACATCCTTTTTTTACATGTCACTTTATGATATTTTGTGTTTCTTTTCAATTAAAATCATAATAGAAAAAAATTTTATCCTATTTCTTTATAGTTATTCCGTATTTCCTATATTTTCAGAAAATTTTACGTTTTACGTAAGTTGTGTCAATTTTTTTTTTTCAAAAATGTATACCAATTTTCTCAGTTTTGTCTCGCCAATAAATATCTAATGTTACAGAATTAGAATATAGCCAAATATTCACAACCTTTATCAGCTTGCCTCTTTCCCTTTGGCAAAGGAGCAACCCCGAACTAGAGACTTTTCAGCAAAGTTTTACAATTTACCAAAAAGATTTTTCTTGCTCACCAACTCTTTTGTATTGTCCCATTTAGAATTCAAAATTTCATAGAAAAATAGCATTAGATATGTTCCATAAACCTGTGTTAGTAATTTTAGTCTTTTTTTCTTTTTATCAAAATCTTATATATAAAAGTTTCCGTTTTGAGAAAGAATAATTGTAATAATTTTTTTCTTTCCATCAAAAAGTCTTTAATTTTTTATGTTCATCATCTAATACCAAACATAGTTCTTTTCGTACACCTGTAGTACACTATTCTAAAACAACTTCTTTTTCATAAACTAACCATAAACAGATAACCCCAACACAGAATTTCAAAATCACAGATTAATTCGATCATACTAAACCAACCATTTTTAAATTCAGTACTATTTGTATACGTATAACACATTTCCATAAAACCGACTTCATATATTGAAATAGTTCCCATATTTAATCCTCATTTCAAATTCCACACTATTTCAATACTCTTTAGTATGCTTTGCTTGGCTCATTACCATACGAACAGTTTCGTCTTTTTATAAATAACCAATCACAAAAATCATTTTTCACTTGCCTGAATTATGCTACAAAAGTTCCCTCGGTGCAGTTCTTGAAATAAGCCAATCAGCAGGTTACTTCTTCCGCACACAATCTCTTTATTTTGATTCCCTGGCAATTCATATTATTTTTTTCTCATATCAAAGACACACACAACAATAGCACTGTCAATTTTATATATAACTTTCACTTAGTATATACGCATTTTCTATACACAAGAAAAGAAAAAAAGCATTAGTACATATGGCGAAAGAAAATCATAACAAAACTATTGTTTTGCAAAAAAAAAACAACAAAGTGACTACCTGCACAAGATGTTGCTTTTAGGCTCATCGTAGTAAGTAAGTTAAATTTTTTTCAGATTACGATAACATTATATGTTTGAACTTATCGATAACAATGTTAAATTACGGAACTATAATCATTTGTTCTGTTGCACTGTGATATTCGTACGGGCTTCATGCCAAAATGAAATTGTAATAATAATATGATGTAAACAAACGTGATAATTTTGTTTTAAGATTTGCACCCAATATTTCAATTGACTTGCAGAGCGAATTGTCTGCAAAAATCTTACAAATAATTAACACTTAAAGCTTAAATAAATAAAAAACGTTTCGTTAAATTGTTGACTAACGATGAATTTAAAATAAACAAAATAAAGACATACGTTCTAATTAAAAATTGAATATGCAATAACATCGAAAAGCGATTTGCTAATAAAAACAGTGATTGCAAAAGTATGCTAATTATACATTCTCGATACCTTATGACAAAGGAAGGGACATACACAATAAAATAATGTACTGTTGTGGGAAATCTTAAGCCTAGTAATGTAAATATCACAAATTAGTTATTTAATACTATTATCCCCTGTGCATTCCAGGTATTGTCTTGGTGAAAAAGTTTGGTGTTGAATATTGCCCAGAATCATTGTCAGTAAATAAGTAGCAGCAGTAAATAATTCATCCAACAGAATGTTGTCATGTGCAGCTAAGTTTTCTACAAATCTTCTTTGCAGGTTTAGGGTATAGCTGCAAAATGACACAATATTGGCGGTGCTGTAAATGTGATCGTTAGAGAACCTTTTAGTTGGATTTTAAAAGTTTTGACCAACACATTTTCTTAAAATCTTCCTCTCAAACGTCTCAACTTCTTTAGCTACATATGGCGAAATGGTGAACCAAATTGGGAATCCATATCCAATAATTGGCCGGATTGTAACTTTATAAAGTCGCAGCTTAGTATTTTGCGGCAAATAAGTATTGCACATTAATGTGGACAAACGTCAAGCAGTTAAATTGGCCTTTTTCAATGATGCTCTGGCGTGTTCATTAAATTTAAATAATTTATTTATATGTATTCCCAAATATTTGAAGGAATCTCGGAATGGAATTTCTATGCCATCCAATAAGAGACGCAGATTCTTCGCTTCGGGAACAACGCTTCTATGACATTTCCCAGATGCGTTTCTAATACATACTGCTTCCGATTTAGCTGCGTTTACTGTGATTCCCCAAGTTTTATAATATTTACTTATATCGCCAAGGTGAAGAGCGGCTTGCTTTAAGGCTTCAGTGGGTGAGTTACGGTGACTATATATTAAGCAATCGTCAGCATACAATATGGCTTTTGAATTTTCTGTTTGATGAGCGAAGTCGTGAAGGAAAATATTAAATAGAAGGGGCGACAGGACACTACCTTGAGGTACTCACTCGATATAGATCCAAAACTGGACAGAAAATCATTAATTGTGACAGTAAATTTAATATCTGTCAAGAAATTTTGGAGAATTTTGATTAAGAATGGGTCCACACTAAGTTGTATTAATTTGTAGATTATCCCCTTGTGGTACACAGAGTCGAAACCCTTTTGAACATCAAGGGAAATCGCTACAGTGCAGATCTTTTCTCTCGGGCTACTTGTTATGTCTTCACGAAACTTCAATAATGTATGGTTTGTTGAGTGTGCCGCTTTAAAGCAAAATTGCCAGTCGGGAATCTCTCAAAAACTTTTCCAATATTGGATAACATAGATATTGGACGGAACACTTGAGGTTTTATCTTCTTCTTGATTGGTATAATTTTTGCAATTTTCCATGACTTAGGGAAGTATCCATCATTCAAACAGTTGGTAAATATAATTGTTAATAATTTTAAAGATTCATCAGAAAAATTCTTTAGTACATAGTTTGATATCCCATCTAGACCGGTCGATTTTTTTTCTATTCAGACGTACAATGTGCGTTTTTATAGATGATACATTTTGTAAAGTGGTAATTGTCTGAATTGTGTAATGAATTAAATCCATCATCAAATGTGTATATGGTTAGCAATTGGATTTAAATAACTTTGTATTCGGGATTCAATGTTAGGTGGTGGTAACTCTGGAATATTCTCACAGAAAGTGTCGCTATAATAGTCATGGAAGGCGTTTGCGATCTCTCTACCTGTAGTAAAAGCCACATTATCTATTTGTAGCTGTTGGCAAAATTGTGTTTTAGATTTTCCAATTAGTTTGCTGACTTGTTGGAAAGCTCATGGACTGGGTTTTATATTTTTTAATTTAGAGTTAAAAACATTAGCCTGCTCTTTGTAAAGAAGGTCCCGTATAATGTTTTTGAGTAGCTGTATTTGTTTGGACAATATATTATATTCAAAATTTGTTCTGTTGCCATTTCGATGAAATATTTTTTTAGGTCTTTTTGCCATTGATCTTTGATTTTATAAAACCTCTTTATATTTTCAGGTAAAAGGATTTGGTGATTTTTTACTTCAATTGTTTTGCAGTGCTGTTTGTGTTTGTTATGAAAGGTATTTTCAAAGATATTTATGCAATTGTCAACTTCATCATTAACAAGATTTCTGTTTGCAGGTGGTAAAATGGATTCCAATGCAGAATCAAACTGTCGACGAAACATACTCCAATCCGTGGACTTATAAGAAACAACCACACTGGTAGTTTTGAGGATAATACCACCTGTATTGAACGAAATATCCAATTTGAGAGGGTAATGGTCAGAAAATGAGGGAATACTGGTTATTTTGTAGTTGCCTGCATCAGTATCTATCAGTTTTGGGCTGACCAAAAAATGATCCAAATAAGATGGACCATTAGGGTATGAAGGAGAAGAGTCACATATTCGAGTAACGTCTGTGGCATTATCAAGCAACCAATTGTAAAGTGTCCTTCCATTAGTGTTGTCCATTATATCACCCCACGTCGTGTGTCTAGAATTAAGATCCCCTCCAAAAATAAATCCATCATAATTATTAGTAAACTGCAGACAATTATTTAGACCATTGATTAAGTGTTGTGTGTTGAAATTGGTTGAAATATAAAGTGAACCTAGTAAAAATTTCTGCATTGAATTGTTAATTTTTGTCTCAATCTCAATAAAGACTGCATTAAAATTTATATCCTCAGCTGTAGTGCGCTTGTAATTGATGTCGTTTTTTAAAAATACTGCCATGCCAATATTTGAGTAGTCATATCAAAATGTGTAACCCTTCATATAAACTTTTTATTTTTTCGAAGTTGGCATTCTTGGATAAATGTAATATCAATTTTGTTTTTGGAGAGATATTTATGTAGCTCGATCTGACGACTGCGATCCACAAGAGACCGGACATTGAAGGCTAAACATTTTAAGGACCTATGGACCATAAGTATCCTTTTTTTAAAAGACGCATGAATTCGTCTTTAGCTTTACTCTTTGACATATTGTTGAATTCTGCCAGAAATATGTTTATTTCTTGCTCTGGCGTTAGTTCCTCTGGTTGCAAGAAAATATTTGACAATTTTAAAAATTCGTCAATAATTGATGGTTTACTACTATGGCTCGTCGTAGGATGAAAATGACTTACAAATGTTTTATCTGCTGTAACATAATTGTTGGAAATGACATGACTCAGATTTTCTGTTGCTGCCATTTCAATGTTTATGGCGTTTTGAATGCGTTCTCTTCTCTTAGCTGCATATTTTTAAATACAGGACAACCGCTCCAGTTTGCGGTATGTCCATTCGATCGGCGATTGCTTATGTAAATATTTAATATGGGAAATGTCGCTTAATGATTTACCAGGAATAAGAGTCACCAAGAAAAGACCTGTATCCAAATTATTTTTTATTGATCTAGAAGTTTTGAATTTTGATACCTTGGAAATAACTTCAGGCAATACCTCATCCAAGGCATTTTTGACGTATTCAGCTTCAACGCCTTGACAAAGTCCCCTTAATATAAATGACACCTGCTTTAATTCTTTCGGTGTAAACGAGTACGCGTGGACAGACTTTTCACGAAGAGTATCTAGCATTGTAGTGTTGGCTGTGGGATCACATAGATATAATTTACATTTATTTGTACCAACATTTTTGATTTTGAAATTAATTGGTGGCGATCTTTCTTCTAATTGTTTAATTAGGAGTAGGACATTAATATTATATAAAAATATTGGTGGGTAAAAAGACGTCTTTCCTTTTTCTTTAGTACATAGTTTGATATCCCATCTAGACCGGTCGATTTTTTTTCTATTCAGACGTACAATGTGCGTTTTTATAGATGATACATTTTGTAAAGTGGTAATTGTCTGAATTGTGTAATGAATTAAATCCATCATCAAATGTGTATATATGGTTAGCAATTGGATTTAAATAACTTTGTATTCGGGATTCAATGTTAGGTGGTGGTAACTCTGGAATATTCTCACAGAAAGTGTCGCTATAATAGTCATGGAAGGCGTTTGCGATCTCTCTACCTGTAGTAAAAGCCACATTATCTATTTGTAGCTGTTGGCAAAATTGTGTTTTAGATTTTCCAATTAGTTTGCTGACTTGTTGGAAAGCTCATGGACTGGGTTTTATATTTTTTAATTTAGAGTTAAAAACATTAGCCTGCTCTTTGTAAAGAAGGTCCCGTATAATGTTTTTGAGTAGCTGTATTTGTTTGGACAATATATTATATTCAAAATTTGTTCTGTTGCCATTTCGATGAAATATTTTTTTTAGGTCTTTTTGCCATTGATCTTTGATTTTATAAAACCTCTTTATATTTTCAGGTAAAAGGATTTGGTGATTTTTTACTTCAATTGTTTTGCAGTGCTGTTTGTGTATGTTATGAAAGGTATTTTCAAAGATATTTATGCAATTGTCAACTTCATCATTAACAAGATTTCTGTTTGCAGGTGGTAAAATGGATTCCAATGCAGAATCAAACTGTCGACGAAACATACTCCAATCCGTGGACTTATAAGAAACAACCACTCTGGGAGTTTTGAGGATAATACCACCTGTATTGAACGAAATATCCAATTTGAGAGGGTAATGGTCAGAAAATGAGGGAATACTGGTTATTTTGTAGTTGCCTGCATCAGTATCTATCAGTTTTGGGCTGACCAAAAAATGATCCAAATAAGATGGACCATTAGGGTATGAAGGAGAAGAGTCACATATTCGAGTAACGTCTGTGGCATTATCAAGCAACCAATTGTAAAGTGTCCTTCCATTAGTGTTGTCCATTATATCACCCCACGTCGTGTGTCTAGAATTAAGATCCCCTCCAAAAATAAATCCATCATAATTATTAGTAAACTGCAGACAATTATTTAGACCATTGATTAAGTGTTGTGTGTTGAAATTGGTTGAAATATAAAGTGAACCTAGTAAAAATTTCTGCATTGAATTGTTAATTTTTGTCTCAATCTCAATAAAGACTGCATTAAAATTTATATCCTCAGCTGTAGTGCGCTTGTAATTGATGTCGTTTTTTAAAAATACTGCCATGCCAATATTTGAGTAGTCATATCAAAATGTGTAACCCTTCATATAAACTTTTTATTTTTTCGAAGTTGGCATTCTTGGATAAATGTAATATCAATTTTGTTTTTGGAGAGATATTTATGTAGCTCGATCTGACGACTGCGATCCACAAGAGACCGGACATTGAAGGCTAAACATTTTAAGGACCTATGGACCATAAGTATCCTTTTTTTAAAAGACGCATGAATTCGTCTTTAGCTTTACTCTTTGACATATTGTTGAATTCTGCCAGAAATATGTTTATTTCTTGCTCTGGCGTTAGTTCCTCTGGTTGCAAGAAAATATTTGACAATTTTAAAAATTCGTCAATAATTGATGGTTTACTACTATGGCTCGTCGTAGGATGAAAATGACTTACAAATGTTTTATCTGCTGTAACATAATTGTTGGAAATGACATGACTCAGATTTTCTGTTGCTGCCATTTCAATGTTTATGGCGTTTTGAATGCGTTCTCTTCTCTTAGCTGCATATTTTTTAAATACAGGACAACCGCTCCAGTTTGCGGTATGTCCATTCGATCGGCGATTGCTTATGTAAATATTTAATATGGGAAATGTCGCTTAATGATTTACCAGGAATAAGAGTCACCAAGAAAAGACCTGTATCCAAATTATTTTTTATTGATCTAGAAGTTTTGAATTTTGATACCTTGGAAATAACTTCAGGCAATACCTCATCCAAGGCATTTTGACGTATTCAGCTTCAACGCCTTGACAAAGTCCCCTTAATATAAATGACACCTGCTTTAATTCTTTCGGTGTAAACGAGTACGCGTGGACAGACTTTTCACGAAGAGTATCTAGCATTGTAGTGTTGGCTGTGGGATCACATAGATATAATTTACATTTATTTGTACCAACATTTTTGATTTTGAAATTAATTGGTGGCGATCTTTCTTCTAATTGTTTAATTAGGAGTAGGACATTAATATTATATAAAAATATTGGTGGGTAAAAAGACGTCTTTCCTTTTTTTGGTGACTTTTCCGGATCGATGTTATTGGTTTGCGGTGCTTGTTGAATATATTCAAATTCCAGATCTGCAAACTTTGCATACCTGTTCTGGTTATTAGGATCATATTTGAACCCCGATATGTCAACATCAGTTGGTGGTGTAGAGTCTTCTAACCTTAGACGTTTGCCATAATTGTTGTTTTTGTTTAAGCCATTGGTTGAAACTGGCTGCTGATTATGTGCTAAAGTTCTTCCTTGTTCCATTGGTGCTATTGAATTTGTTGCAGGTATCAACAGAGTGGGTGACATCTGATGGAATACCTGCTGGGACAAGTTAATTTTCAAAAATGATTTAAAAAGTTTCACGAAAATGTAAGAGCGCTTAAAAAATTCAACCAAACGATTAGGGATCTACCGAAGTTACCATTGTAAGAAAGGTAAACAAATATTTGTTTCCACGATTTGCGTTTTCCATTTGTTCCAACGATATTCACGAGTCCCACTCATGGATTATTTGTACGATTGTGGGTTAATCCACCAAATCTCTGTTAGAATAAAAAGTAACAAGTTAGAATGAATAAATACAATATTTCTTTAAAAAGTTAATACCTGTCATTTATTTGTCCGATTGGAAAATTTTGTGAATTGAATTAAGTGAATGAGCCGCAACGATACACTGCAAAGTCACATAGGGATCTATAACTCTACGAAAGCATGAATGGCCGGTGTAGGTAAATTAACGGCGTTGCGCACCCTTCATGTACGTTTCCACGACTGCAACTACTTCATGCATGTGTGTGTGAATAAAATGTTTCAATGGATGCAGCTTGCCTGCACACACACATACTTACGCATGAGACTCCCAAGAATGAATATAAATCAGGTAATTTTTTTGATTCGTCTGCAATAAAGGAATAGGAATAAGAATAGAAATTGATTATGTTTCTGTGGGAAATGTATTACAAAAGGGAATTCTTACCTTTATCCGGAAGGAAAAAAATGAGACACTAGAAATTTTGTTTGGTCACGTGGACTGACTGATGGTGATAAAAAAGAAGAAACTTACTTGGCTCCACAATTTTATATTCCGCCTACGACCGGATGTAAGGATTCACGCATATCACCACTTTCTTTATTTTTTTCTACTAAAGTGGTGAAGTTTTGTTGCGTTCATTCCCAGTATGAATTTTTATAATGTGCAATTTAATGCACCGAACGTGCTGAACGCCAGCCAAAAAAGAGAGCCGGATACGCAGGGCGGTCGGCTAAATTTGAAAAAGTGATGCCATGTTTCAAGTTGTTTTTTTACAACACAAGAGACGTGTGGCAAAAATACAAAACTGGGGATAATAGTGGGTAGGTAGAACACCTGATAAAGGTAAATAATAAATGTCAAGGAAATTGTGGGAAAATCTTGGAAAACAGGGAAGGTTTGGTTGAGCGTCAGGGAGGGATAAAAGCGCCATTATTTCAAAGTAATGTGGAGCAGAAAAAACAGTTCAGTCAATTTTTAATCCTTTTTTTAATAAAAATAAAGAAATACACAATTGGCAGTTACTATTCGTGCTTTTTATTTGTGTGGCGTATCTAAACAATGTGTAAATGTTGATTTGTAAGTGGTGTTATGTGGGATATGTTGTGTTAAGTTTGTGTGTTTTATTTAGGGAAATAACGCCGCGCATAAATCCACAATTTGACAATGGCATCCGACTTTAACAAGAAAAGAGCGGGCATCCCCAACAATCGTTTTTTGAATCGCCAGGTGCGGGACCGAGGTTCCAGGTACAGAAAAGGTCCTGGAAGCTGCCAGAAGACCTGGAAACAGCTGGGAAACGGCCAGTGAAAAATTGTAAAACAGGCGACAGTACCGATCCGGGAAGCTAACAGTACATCCCACCTATACCAAAATCTGTAAAAGAAGAAAAAAAGTTGAAAAAGCATGCCGTTGTGCAGGTAATGTAATTTAAAAATTAATTTAATTACCAAAGCCCAAAGAAGGAAAGCCAAATCCCGCTAAAAGAGTCATATTAAGTTCCTTTTTCAAAACTTACAGCTAGACCATTTCTATATTTTTTTGGAACAAGAATTTAGAATGCCCAAAACTTTTGTCCAAGCGAGCTCCTTTAGGCAGAATTTAGAGTAGATTTATTGACCAAAATTTGGCGCTCCTAGCGGTGTAATAAAAAAGGTAATCTGAGTATTGACTCACAATTTTTTTCGTTCCGGTATTAAAATTCAAGTTTTATTCTTATGTGTTCATTTTGAGAACCCCTGGATAACCGCTCCCTCCTGAGCTAGTGCGGAACCCCGCCATAATGCCGCGCAGACTGAGTGTTACAATGTTACTTCGTTCAGGTAGAACGGAAGCATAACAAGTGGAGAAAGATGTAAATGTTTATAAGTGTCGCTATAATAGTCATGGAAGGCGTTTGCGATCTCTCTACCTGTAGTAAAAGCCACATTATCTATTTGTAGCTGTTGGCAAAATTGTGTTTTAGATTTTCCAATTAGTTTGCTAACTTGTTGGAAAGCTCATGGACTGGGTTTTATATTTTTTAATTTGGAGTTAAAAAACTTTAGCCTGCTTTTTGTAAAGAAGGTCCCGTATAATGTTTTTGAGTAGCTGTATTTGTTTGGACAATATATTGTATTCAAAATTTGTTCTGTTGGCATTTCGATGAAATATTTTTTTTTAGGCCTTTTTGCCATTGATCTTTGATTTTATAAAACCTCTTTATATTTCAGGTAAAAGGATTTGGTGATTTTTTACTTCAATTGTTTTGCAGTGCTGTTTGTGTATGTTATGAAAGGTATTTTCAAAGATATTTATACAATTGTCAATTTCATCATTAACAAGATTTCTGTTTGCAGGTGGTAAAATGGATTCCAATGCAGAATCAAACTGTCGACGAAACATACTCCAATCCGTGGACTTATAAGAAACAACCACTCTGGGAGTTTTGAGGATAATACCACCTGTATTGAACGAAATATCCAATTTGAGAGGGTAATGGTCAGAAAATGAGGGAATACTGGTTATTTTGTAGTTGCCTGCATCAGTATCTATCAGTTTTGGGCTGACCAAAAAATGATCCAAATAAGATGGACCATTAGGGTATGAAGGAGAAGAGTCACATATTCGAGTAACGTCTGTGGCATTATCAAGCAACCAATTGTAAAGTGTCCTTCAATTGGTGTTGTCCATTATATCACCCCACGTCGTGTGTCTAGAATTAAGATCCCCTCCAAAAATAAATCCATCATAATTATTAGTAAACTGCAGACAATTATTTAGACCATTGATTAAGTGTTGTGTGTTGAAATTGGTTGAAATATAAAGTGAACCCAGTAAAAATTTCTGCATTGAATTGTTAATTTTTGTCTCAATCTCAATAAAGACTGCATTAAAATTTATATCCTCAGCTGTAGTGCGCTTGTAATTGATGTCGTTTTTTAAAAGTACTGCCATGCCAATATTTGAGTAGTCATATCAAAATGTGTAACCCTTCATATAAACTTTTTTATTTTTTCGAAGTTGGCATTCTTGGATAAATGTAATATCAATTTTGTTTTTGGAGAGATATTTATGTAGCTCGATCTGACGACTGCGATCCACAAGAGACCGGACATTGAAGGCTAAACATTTTAAGAACCTATGGACCATAAGTATCCTTTTTTTAAAAGACGCATGAATTCGTCTTTAGCTTTACTCTTTGACATATTGTTGAATTCTGCCAGAAATATGTTTATTTCTTGCTCTAGGGTTAGTTCCTCTGGTTGCAAGAAAATATTTGACAATTTTAAAAATTCGTCAATAATTGATGGTTTACTACTATGGCTCGTCGTAGGATGAAAATGACTTGCAAATGTTTTATCTGCTGTAACATAATTGTTGGAAATGACATGACTCAGATTTTCTGTTGCTGCCTTTTCAATGTTTATGGCGTTTTGAATGCGTTCTCTTCTCTTAGCTGCATATTTTTTAAATACAGGACAACCTCTCCAGTTTGCGGTATGTCCATTCGATCGGCGATTGCTTATGTAAATATTTAATATGGGAAATGTCGCTTAATGATTTACCAGGAATAAGAGTCACCAAGAAAAGACCTGTATCCAAATTATTTTTTATTGATCTAGAAGTTTTGAATTTTGATACCTTGGAAATAACTTCAGGCAATACCTCATCCAAGGCATTTTTGACGTATTCAGCTTCAACGCCTCGACAAAGTCCCCTTAATATAAATGACACCTGCTTTAATTCTTTCGGTGTAAACGAGTACGCGTGGACAGACTTTTCACGAAGAGTATCTAGCATTGTAGTGTTGGCTGTGGGATCACATAGATATAATTTACATTTATTTGTACCAACATTTTTGATTTTGAAATTAATTGGTGGCGATCTTTCTTCTAATTGTTTAATTAGGAGTAGGACATTAATATTATATAAAAATATTGGTGGGTAAAAAGACGTCTTTCCTTTTTTTGGTGACTTTTCCGGATCGGTGTTATTGGTTTGCGGTGCTTGTTGAATATTTTCAAATTCCAGATCTGCAAACTTTGCATACCTGTTCTGGTTATTAGGATCATATTTGAACCCCGATATGTCAACATCAGTTGGTGGTGTAGAGTCTTCTAACCTTAGACGTTTGCCATAATTGTTGTTTTTGTTTAAGCCATTGGTTGAAACTGGCTGCTGATTATGTGCTAAAGTTCTTCCTTGTTCCATTGGTGCTATTGAATTTGTTGCAGGTATCAACAGAGTGGGTGACATCTGATGGAATACCTGCTGGGACAAGTTAATTTTCAAAAATGATTTAAAAAGTTTCACGAAAATGTAAGTGCGCTTAAAAAATTCAACCAAACGATTAGGGATCTACCGAAGTTACCATTGTAAGAAAGGTAAACAAATATTTGTTTCCACGATTTGCGTTTTCCATTTGTTCCAACGATATTCACGAGTCCCACTCATGGATTATTTGTACGATTGTGGGTAAATCCACCAAATCTCTGTTAGAATAAAAAGTAACAAGTTAGAATGAATAAATACAATATTTCTTTAAAAAGTTATTATCTGTCATTTGTTTGTCCGATTGGAAAATTTTGTGAATTGAATTGAGTGAATAAGCCGCAACGATACACTGCAAAGTCACATAGGGATCTATAACTCTACGAAAGCATGAATGGCCGGTGTAGGTAAATTAACGGCGTTGCGCACACTTCATGTACGTTTCCACGACTGCAACTACTTCATGCATGTGTGTGTCAATAAAATTTTTCAATGGATGCAGCATGGTAAAAGAATATAGGTAGACGCGTCGACACAGCTGCTGGGACAATGAACTGTCAAACCAATTTTGGAATTGAAAATGTTGAATGAAAAATTATTTAAATTTGTAAAAATTGTTGAAAAACGCGAATTATAATAGCCTTCGAATGACGTAGTATAAGAAAACATATAAAAATCTACTTATATTTGAAAAAACTTTTGAATTTTATTGGCATATCAATGCTCCCAAGCGTTGATGCATCTACCTGTATTCTTCTGCCATGGGATGCAGCTTGCCTGCACACACACATACTTACGCATGAGACTCCCAAGAATGAATATAAATCAGGTAATTTTTTTGATTCGTCTGCAATAAAGGAATAGGAATAAGAATAGAAATTGATTATGTTTCTGTGGGAAATGTATTACAAAAGGGAATTCTTACCTTTATCCGGAAGGAAAAAAATGAGACACTAGAAATTTTGTTTGGTCACGTGGACTGACTGATGGTGATAAAAAAGAAGAAACTTACTTGGCTCCACAATTTTATATTCCGCCTACGACCGGATGTAAGGATTCACGCATATCACCACTTTCTTTATTTTTTTCTACTAAAGTGGTGAAGTTTTGTTGCGTTCATTCCCAGTATGAATTTTTATAATGTGCAATTTAATGCACCGAACGTGCTGAACGCCAGCCAAAAAAGAGAGCCGGATACGCAGGGCGGTCGGCTAAATTTGAAAAAGTGATGCCATGTTTCAAGTTGTTTTTTTACAACACAAGAGACGTGTGGCAAAAATACAAAACTGGGGATAATAGTGGGTAGGTAGAACACCTGATAAAGGTAAATAATAAATGTCAAGGAAATTGTGGGAAAATCTTGGAAAACAGGGAAGGTTTGGTTGAGCGTCAGGGAGGGATAAAAGCGCCATTATTTCAAAGTAATGTGGAGCAGAAAAAACAGTTCAGTCAATTTTTAATCCTTTTTTTAATAAAAATAAAGAAATACACAATTGGCAGTTACTATTCGTGCTTTTTATTTGTGTGGCGTATCTAAACAATGTGTAAATGTTGATTTGTAAGTGGTGTTATGTGGGATATGTTGTGTTAAGTTTGTGTGTTTTATTTAGGGAAATAACGCCGCGCATAAATCCACAATTTGACAATGGCATCCGACTTTAACAAGAAAAGAGCGGGCATCCCCAACAATCGTTTTTTGAATCGCCAGGTGCGGCACCGAGGTTCCAGGTACAGAAAAGGTCCTGGAAGCTGCCAGAAGACCTGGAAACAGCTGGGAAACGGCCAGTGAAAAATTGTAAAACAGGCGACAGTACCGATCCGGGAAGCTAACAGTACATCCCACCTATACCAAAATCTGTAAAAGAAGAAAAAAAGTTGAAAAAGCATGCCGTTGTGCAGGTAATGTAATTTAAAAATTAATTTAATTACCAAAGCCCAAAGAAGGAAAGCCAAATCCCGCTAAAAGAGTCATATTAAGTTCCTTTTTCAAAACTTACAGCTAGACCATTTCTATATTTTTTTGGAACAAGAATTTAGAATGCCCAAAACTTTGTCCAAGCGAGCTCCTTTAGGCAGAATTTAGAGTAGATTTATTGACCAAAATTTGGCGCTCCTAGCGGTGTAATAAAAAAGGTAATCTGAGTATTGACTCACAAATTTTTTCGTTCCGGTATTAAAATTCAAGTTTTATTCTTATGTGTTCATGTTGAGAACCCCCTGGATAACCGCTCCCTCCTGAGCTAGTGCGGAACCCCGCCATAATGCCGCGTAGACTGAGTGTTACAATGTTACTTCGTTCAGGTAGAACGGAAGCATAACAAGTGGAGAAAGATGTAAATGTTTATAAGTGCGGTTGTAAGATTTAGAAGATTTTCCAAAAGAATTTTAGTTTTATTTAATTCTTTGGTACCTCTTCTATTGAGCTTACGATCTCGTCACTCGGGTAAAACATGTTTTTTTTTTGTCAGATTTCGACCATACGTGGAATGTATGAAATTCACCATGATCACAGATCACGCAAGTCTCAAGTGGCTTATGTCACTAAAAGATTTATGTGGGAGAAATCCCAGATGGTCTCTGCAGCTTCAAGCTTTAGATTTTTCAATCGAATACCGAAAAGGATCTGAGAATGTTGTGGCTGATACCTTATCCCGTCTACCAATTTAATCGAAAATATAACTAACGATGATATTTTGGATTTCGAAACCACCGCGTTTGACAGCGAAGAGTACCTGGAGTTGCGAAAAACAATAGTAGAGAACCAAGAAGGATTACCCGATTTAAAAGTCGACAACGACAAAGTTTACATAAGAGTGAACAATTTTGATGAAACGACGATGGAAGTTGAATGGAAATTGTGGATACCGTAAGGAATTAGTCTTCCAGTCTGTTCACGTTGGCATAAATAAAACCATGAAACGTTTAAAAACGTATTATTATTGGCCAAAAAGGGCATGCCAAGTAAAACATTATGTGTCTAATTGCCAAGTCTGCAAAGAAACAAAATCGGCAAATACTATTATGCGACCTACCATAGGAAATGAGGTTATAACGGAAAGGCCAATCCAAAAACTTTATGTACACTTCCTCGCAAAGTATCCCAGATCCAACAAGTTAAAAAGCAGTAAGTTCGGCCGGGCCGAACTTTGAATACCCTCCACCATTTGGAACTAATTTGGAAATTTTCAAACAATAAAATCTTTAAAAAATTCTGTTGAAATTTTAAAAATACCAAATGTAGCCATTATATTTGGGTCTATACGGCGAGGACCTACATTGGCATTGTTCGTCTTAAGCCATTACCATATTCAAATTCGAAACTTGAAGTAAACGGTGAATAATGTAATGTAGCAGCCATTACGAACTTCAAATAATTTCGGTGGGTATTGCACCTAAAATCGTCAAAATACCGAATATAGGGAGGTACTAATATATGTGACCTATACGAATCCTGGACCTGCATAGACAATTTTCTGTCACAGACTGTAGTTCCCATAACGAAAAACAAATACGTAATTTGAAATAATTCTGGTGAATAATGTCGCTAAAATCATCAAAACACCGAATATTGGGAGGTACCGTTATATGGGGGCTATACGAAGAAGTGAAATTGCACAGACATGTGTTCAAAATTTTAGCCATCTATCTCAATTCATTCCAAAGATAGCGCGATTACAACAGACAGACGGATGGAAATCGCTAAATCGACTTAGAATTTCACGCTGGTCAAGGAGTTCCCCACGTTGTGAACAACAAAGGTATAAAGAACTATATTCCATTTAATTTCTTTCAAAATACAATAGTCACCATCTCCGATTGTCTTAAACACAAAAAGTCCGTTTATATTTATGGAAAAAATCCGTAGATATCTTCCTAACAACCATTTGTAGCATTGGTTTAAAGTATTCAATCATTTCCTTGTAACCGATTATTCTCACATTACAATTGTCGAAGATTTAGTTGATTGTTGTTAAAGTATTTAAGAAGCGTAACAGTCGTTTGCATATAATCTTAAAAGAGTAATTTATAGCAACAATATAATGTGGTAATATGAATAAGGGAACAATAAAAACCATATCCCCTCTGTATTGCTCCTAATTTTCATTTTATCATTTTCAAATATATTTTTTGCGATTAATAATGATTAATTATCATCCTCCCTTATTCTCCTTTTTTCTCGGTGAATGCATAAAAATAGTCGATACCCTGTTTTTTAATCATAAGAGAAAAAAAATTTGTCCTATTTATTTATAGGTATTCCGTATTTCCTGTATTTTCCGAAAATTTCATGAAAGTTGTAAATTTTTGTTTTCAAAAATATATACCAATTTTCTCAGTTTTGTCCCAATAAATATCTAATATTACAGAATTAGAATATAGCCAAATATTCACAACCTTTTATCAGCTTGCCTCTTTCCTTTTGGCAAATTAGCAACACCGAACAAGAGACTTTTCAGCAAAATTTTACAATTTACGAAAACGATTTTTCTTGCTCACCAAATCTTTTGCATTGTCCAATTTAGAATTCAAAATTTCATAGTAGGTTAGGTAAGGTTAAAGGACGCGCGATTTGCCATATGGCAACCGCTCCACTCGGAGACCTATAGGTCCATTGTGTTCATCCTAGAAAAGAGTTTTGAGAGATAGAAGAAAAGTGATTGATAGAGAAGATGAAGATAAGGGATAGTGTAGTGGAGTGAGAATCTACGGCTGAGGAGTTTGCCGTGTCGTCTTTAGCCACTTGAGTCTTCTGGCTATTTGAAGTATTACTACTTAGTCAGTGTTAGAAAAAGACGACAAGTCATGTGACACTAGTTCTCCCACTAGCATATGCCTCACATTAATGAGTGCTGGGCAGTGGCAGAGTAAGTGTTCGATTGTCTCGATTTCTTCTTCATCTTGACAGATCCTACAATAGTCAATGCCGTCGCTGTCCCATTTCGATGTCATAGCCCTCACCTTACAGTGACCTGTGATGATGCCCACCACGAGTTTTAAATCAGGTTTTGACAATGACATCAGCGACCTTGTTCTATTCTCCGAGAGCGTGGGCCAGACTCGTTTGGGGATGGTACAACCAATTTCATCCAGCCATTTTTGTTGGATCTTCTCAGAGTAGTGTTTGTGAATAACCTGCAGGAAATGGCACAGTGGTGGTTTAACCGAGTTGTCTACTTGAATTGTAGTTGATTCGGATCCTAATCTGGCCAGTTCGTCTGCAGTCTCGTTACCAGGGAGGTTAAAATGTCCAGGAACCCAACAAAGCTTGATAGACAACCCAGTGTTTTCCAAGGCTTCCCTGCAGTTCAAAACAGCCCTAGACTTGATTGTAAAGGAACTCAAGGCCTTCAGTGCAGCTTGACTATCGACATATATAGTCACCGGACTACTGACTTCAATGTTCCTCGTGACCAGCAGGTCAATTGCCTTTTTGACTGCAAAGATTTCCGCCTGAAAAACGCTACAGTTGTAGTTGTACACTTCCTCGCAAAGTATCCCAGATCCAACAAGTTAAAAAGCAGTAAGTTCGGCCGGGCCGAACTTTGAATACCCTCCACCATTTGGAACTAATTTGGAAATTTTCAAACAATAAAATCTTTAAAAAATTCTGTTAAAATTTTAAAAATACCAAATGTAGCCATTATATTTGGGTCTATACGGCGAGGACCTACATTGGCATTGTTCGTCTTAAGCCATTACCATATTCAAATTCGAAACTTGAAGTAAACGGTGAATAATGTAATGTAGCAGCCATTACGAACTTCAAATAATTTCGGTGGGTATTGCACCTAAAATCGTCAAAATACCGAATATAGGGAGGTACTAATATATGTGACCTATACGAATCCTGGACCTGCATAGACAATTTTCTGTCACAGACTGTAGTTCCCATAACGAAAAACAAATACGTAATTTGAAATAATTCTGGTGAATAATGTCGCTAAAATCATCAAAACACCGAATATTGGGAGGTACCGTTATATGGGGGCTATACGAAGAAGTGAAATTGCACAGACATGTGTTCAAAATTTTAGCCATCTATCTCAATTCATTCCAAAGATAGCGCGATTACAACAGACAGACGGATGGAAATCGCTAAATCGACTTAGAATTTCACGCTGGTCAAGGAGTTCCCCACGTTGTGAACAACAAAGGTATAAAGAACTATATTCCATTTAATTTCTTTCAAAATACAATAGTCACCATCTCCGATTGTCTTAAACACAAAAAGTCCGTTTATATTTATGGAAAAAATCCGTAGATATCTTCCTAACAACCATTTGTAGCATTGGTTTAAAGTATTCAATCATTTCCTTGTAACCGATTATTCTCACATTACAATTGTCGAAGATTTAGTTGATTGTTGTTAAAGTATTTAAGAAGCGTAACAGTCGTTTGCATATAATCTTAAAAGAGTAATTTATAGCAACAATATAATGTGGTAATATGAATAAGGGAACAATAAAAACCATATCCCCTTTGTATTGCTCCTAATTTTCATTTTTATCATTTTCAAATATATTTTTTGCGATTAATAATGATTAATTATCATCCTCCCTTATTCTCCTTTTTTCTCGGTGAATGCATAAAAATAGTCGATACCCTGTTTTTTAATCATAAGAGAAAAAAAATTTGTCCTATTTATTTATAGGTATTCCGTATTTCCTGTATTTTCCGAAAATTTCATGAAAGTTGTAAATTTTTTGTTTTCAAAAATATATACCAATTTTCTCAGTTTTGTCCCAATAAATATCTAATATTACAGAATTAGAATATAGCCAAATATTCACAACCTTTTATCAGCTTGCCTCTTTCCTTTTGGCAAATTAGCAACACCGAACAAGAGACTTTTCAGCAAAATTTTACAATTTACGAAAACGATTTTTCTTGCTCACCAAATCTTTTGCATTGTCCAATTTAGAATTCAACATTTCATAGTAGGTTAGGTAAGGTTAAAGGACGCGCGATTGCCATATGGCAACCGCTCCACTCGGAGACCTATAGGTCCATTGTGTTCATCCTAGAAAAGAGTTTTGAGAGATAGAAGAAAAGTGATTGATAGAGAAGAT